CTTGCCTCTAGCCAGCTGCTCTGTGGAGGGTTTGGAAGCACAAGTTGAGAGCTGTCTCCCAAGATCCATCAGTTACAGCAGTTCTGGAATGGGCTTCGTTCGGGTCTATGTGGACAGGAGTCTGCCCACGCTGCAGGTGTGGCCCAGCCTGCCATGAGGGGCTCTGGGTTGTGGCATTGTTTGATCTCTCGAGGTCAGAATTATATTATGCCCCTGGATTTCACAATTGTCTGTGAATCCCCAGTCTATCTGCGGCTGAGACTGGACTACTTACCTGACCTATGTTTCTTCCCCTCTCTTCTGCATACCCACTCTGCCTGTGTTTGCTCTGGTTGCTACATCTGGCTGGGATGTCACCTCCTGCCTGCAGCCACACCTCTCAGTTATCCAGCACTGACTTTCTCACCCCTGCTGGCAACATCACACATTACCCAAAGTGCTGAGGTGCCTCTGAGGGCATTACTGGCTTCAACGGGTCCCAGACAGGTGCCATTTTTCTCTAAACCACCTCTGGAAAAGCACTGAAAGTGTGGTAGGCCTGATGAGTTTTTAGTGACCTTGAAAACTTTTAGATGTTTTATCCATGAACAAGCAGTTTGTTCCGAGGTCTATAAAGATGATAAAGTGCTAGAACAAGGCCCCAGGGATCTTGCTTCTCACAGGCTGCTGAGTCTGTCTGTGGGAGATACAAATGTTTCCACTTCCTGGCTTAGAAAGTCCTCTAAGGACAGCCCCTAAGGGCTGGTCAGACCTTTTTCATTATTTAACAAGGTCACTGGACTCTGTCTAGATAGAGTCTTCCTTCCTTAAGACCAAAGCCCTTTGATAGCAGCTTAGGGAGGAAGCCAGTGAGAACCACACTCACTGTTTTATGCTTCTCTGGAATCTGTGGTCTTCAGGAAGAGATCCAGAGCTCAGTGCAACTCTCTTCTCTGCCATTCAAACATCTTGAGGGGCACCCTGGCTTCATTACAGAAAATCTCTCATCAGGATTCCACTTAGTTCAACTCTGACCTTTCCTTAAGCATATTGTTAGGCTGCAAATAAAAGGAAGCCAGAACTGCCGCCCCCACAGCCCTCTGAACACCATCAGGTAGATAACCAGTGATGCCCGCAAGCACCAGCTGGGTTCTTACAGGGGGAAGCATGCATGGTGCTGTGGAGGCCATTGCTTCCGTTTGAGATGAAGCTATATTTAGGGATGAATCTGGGCCTTCCTTCTCTTCCTCCCTCTGATGCTAAGTGGCCATCTGCATCTCCCAGACAACCTCCACAAGCAGCATCCTGGAAAAGTGGCCTGGGGAAGAGGTGGCTTTTAAATATAGACTACTGAACTGCTGCATGAGGAGATTGAGTTAGTTTGCCTGGGATGCTAAGAGTGAGAAAGGGACATTGCATGCCTGGTGCAGACTTATTTACTCACTCTGTGGCCATCAGAAGCATCCTCTGTCTCTGGGCCTCCATTTCTTTCTTTCCTTTTTCTTTTGAGATGGCGTTTTGCTCTTGTCATCCAGGCTTGGAGTGCAGTGATGTGATCTTGGCTCACTGCAACTTCTGCCTCCTGGTTTCAAGCATTTCTCCTGCCTCAGCCTCCCAAGAAGCTGGGATTACAGGCATGTGCCACAATACCCAGCTACTTTTTCTATTTTCAGTAGAGATGGGGTTTCACCATGTTGACCAGGCTGGTCTTGAACTCCTGACCTCAGGTGATCCACCTGCTTCTGCCTCCCAAAGTGTTGGGATTGCAGGCATGAGCCACTGCACCTGGTCTCTTTTTCTTTTCTTTTCCTTCCTTTTTTCCTCTCTCCCTCGCTTCCTTCTTTCCTTCCTTCCTTCTTCTTTCTCTTCTTTGCCCTCTCTCTCGGTTTCTTTTTTTTTTTTTTTTTTTTTTGAGACAGAGTCTTGCTCTGTCGCCCAGGCTGGAGTGCAGTGGTGTGAACGCAGTTCACTGTAACCTCCACCTTCTGGGTTCAAGCAATTCTCCAGCCTCAGCCTCCCGAGTAACTGGGATTACAGGCGTGTGCCACCATGCCCAGCTAATTTTTGTGTTTTGGGTAGAGACAGGGTTTCACCATGTTGGCCATGCTGATCTTGAACTCCTGACCCAAGTGATCTGCCCACCTCAGCTTCCCAAAGTGTTGGGCTTACAGGCATGAGCCACCATGCCTGGTCTCTTACTTTCTTTCATTTGCTAGGTAAGGGATTAGATAAATATTCCTTTAAAGTTTGCCTACACATTGTACTTTTTATTTGAAAAGCTGAGTTGTATAACCCTTAGATATACAGGACATCCCATGGTGACTGCTTAGTCCAGAGGAAGGTGAGTTGTGACATCCTTAACCCATTCCTCTTCACCACCCCACCCCCAAGGAAGATGGCCAGCAAGGGTGGCTTGTGTGAGGTGGTGAGTGGCTCTGGCCACTGGCTCAGGAAGTCCCCAGATTTATCTCCTTCCATGCGGTTAACCCTTCTCAGTTCCCAGGTTGCCCTGCATTCAAGGAAATGCTCACCTCTCAGCCCTCAGACCCACCTAGCAAGGGTCTTTCTTATCTGAAACTCCTGAGTTAAAAAGATTGGTAGTAGGATAGGGGAGAGGAGGCAGAGGTTCTGGGAATGCATTGGTAAGTTCTCATTCTTGAGTTTCTGGAACTTCTGTGCTGAGCAATGCTATCTTTGTTTCTTTGTTAAACTTGGTTGGCCCACAGTGTTCCTGAAATAGTGTTAAACTTCTTTTAATCTAAAGGGGGAATGTTGTGCTATTGATAAGGTAATAAAACTGTAAAAGAAAAAAAATAAGAGTAAGAATACAGCTTCCAAAGCATTGTGTACTTTTTTTTGTTTGTTTGTTTTTGTTTTTGTTTTTGAGATAGAGTCTCGCTGTTTCCCAGGCTGGAGTACAGTGGCATGATCCCAGCTCACTGCAACCTCCACCTCCCAGGTTCAAGTGATTCTCTTGCCTTAGCCCCCTGAGCAGCTGGGATTATAGGCATGTGCCATGATGCCCAGATAATGTTTGTATTTTTAGTAGAGATGGGGGTTTCACCATGTTGGCCATGCTGGTCTTGAACTCCTGACCTCAGGCGATCTGCCCACTTCAGCCTCCCAAGTGCTGGGATTACAGCCCTGAGCCACCATGTCCAGCCAGTGTTAAGTATTTCTGATTATTCATTTGTTGCGTTGTGAGTTGCATGAGTTCAGGAAGCACATTTGGTTCACAGTAGGGTTTGTTAAATGAATGAATGACTCTTTCTCCATCTCCATCCACAACGTGGGTGTCTCAGGTTCAGGCCAATAGCAAGAGGTTTTATGTCCAGTGCAGTCAAGGTGGGGACAGTTGTAACATTGCTTCCTGAAGCTCCTCACTGCCTTGGGTTTTGTATATCACTCTTCCAAATAAGGTAGGGCCAGGCCAGTGGAATCTCCTCTCCCTTACGGTGCTCTGGCCAGGGCTTGACAGAATGTTGGATAGACTGGGAGTGGGTCAGGCCCAGAGCGGCTCTTTCAGGGTTAGACTGGACCTGCCCAGTACCCCAGAGGCATGGGCAGCATTGTAGAGACCCCAGCACATAGCGGTTAGGCGCATAGATTCTGGAACCAGATCTGGCTCAAATCCAGAACCTGATACTTACTAACCATGTGACCTTGACCAGTTGCTTTACCTCACTGGTCTCAGTTTCCACATCTGTGAAAGGGGATGATGATAAAATATATACCTCTTGAGCTAGGCTTAGATGAGATCACATGTGAAGGGCACACCCCCGGCTGGCATCACAGGCAGATTCCCATGAAAGTGTTGCCCCTCTGAGAGTCCATGCTGACTGGACCTTGCAAATCGGGCAGGGACAGTTTTCGCTGGAAAGTTCATCTACAGGAAGTTGATTGAATTCTGAAGAAAGAGCTAAGAGAGCTGCCAGTAGCTTTCCCTAGAAAACCCCAAAGGGCTGAGAGTAGGATCACATGGCAAGAAGTAGAGAGTAGAGAGAAAAAAAATAAGCTGCAGGTCCTGGGAGGCAGACTGTTCTGTTTGCACTTGTCTGGCCAGGGAACATGGTATCTCCTGGAGGTGGTCTTGTGTTGGGGAAATTCCAACAGCCTGGAGCCACAATACTGTTTCTCACTGCTGAAGCCTGCCTGTTTTCCTCTGCCTAGGTAGCTCAGTTCCAAGAACACTTATTGATGCTTACACTGGGCCAAACCCTGTGATGGGCTCTGGGTTCCAGAGGTGAGTCAGACATAGCTCCTGCCCATGGAGATCCCCATTTAATGATAACTGCTACAAGAGCTGTCTGCACAAGGTGTTTTACAGTATTTATAGTCTACAGAGTGCTTCCGATCGCTCACTAGGCCCCACTCCATTCACACTGCATTGTCTGTGAATGGTGCTCTCTGGAGCTGTGTGGGGTAAGGGCAACCCGGGAAGGCGGCAGCGCAGAGATTAAGATAGTAATCTGACAGCCAAAGGTAGAGGGTGTGTAGGTGATCTGACCAAGGTAACACAGGTGATCTGCAACACCGCCCTCTTCCCACCAGCTAAGCAAGGCCAGATGAGGGGAAGATCCTATTAGCTAGCAGGGAGGTTTGCGGAAGCTCAGGGTGGTCAAGGAGTCAAGCAAAGAGGGAGGTGCACAGGAAGTACACAGTCAGTACTAGAAGTGCCATGCTGCTCCCCCAGGTCCGAAAGGGGACGCGGTGACTTGCTTTCCAGCTGGCTAGACCAAGGAGCGTGAGGCCCAGCCCTCGCCGCTCCCTTGATACTGGCATACCAACACCGGGGGTTTCATCCCGCAGCGCCACCACGCCCCGCTCCCATCAGCCCTCCGCTGGTCTCCGACCTGCGCGGGTCAGGGTGGGAGCGCCCTGCCGCTCCCTGCGCCCTGGGCTGGGCTACAGCCCACGTGCGCTGGCGGCAGCGGCGGTGACAGCCGGCCCCGCGGGGGCGGGGCGGGCTCGTGCTGCCCTGTCATTGGTCGCGCCGCCGTCGGGGGCGTTCCCTAGCCCGGTCCACCGCGCCGCGCAGAACCGCAGGCGCTCGGCTGGCTAAGCCTGCGCGGGGCCGCCTCGCTCGCTCCCAGCTCCTCCAGCGGCCCGCGGGGCCCGATCGCAGCGCCCGCGGCCAGGGCGGAGGCAGGCGCTAACCTGGGGCCGGGCGGCCCGCGCCTTTCGGTAAGGCGGGGGCGGCATTGGGCTCCGGGTGCGGAGGGGGGGCGAGCGGGTGCGGGTGGGGACCTCGCCAGCTCCGGCTGGACTCCGCGCCCTGTCCGGCGCCGGGGAGGGTCAGGTGCGACCGCAGCATCCTCGGCCTCAAACCCACCCGGAGGGGCGCGCAGCGAGCAGGTGGCGCTGCCGGGAAGCCCGGGGCGGCCCTGGCCGGCCTCTGAACCAATTAGAACGCAATAAAAGCCTCCCACCGGCACCTCGAACTACCTCTTACTCCGCCCCTCCAGCACCCAAACCCTGCAGTTCTAAGCCTAGAAAATCCCAAGCGCCAAGCCGGGTTGGGAGTGACGCGCCTGCCGTGCCGCCTGTCACCGGGGATGCAGAAGACCATCCCCAAACTTCCCAGGATTGGGGCTCCGAGCCTTGCACGCCCCGTTCCAGCTCTTCACTGGGCGCCCTTTCCCTTCTCCCTTGTCCCCTCCCTCCTTAGTAACAGGAAGTTAAGTTGGGCCAAATGTCAGTGGCCTGGCCGGCGGCGTGCTGGAGCTGAGTCGGGATGGGGTCGTGGCAGTGGTCCGAGGGACCGCGGCGCCGTCCGCTCTGCATCGCGTCCCCCGCATCCCTGGGAACCCGCGCTCCCTCCAGGCCCGGGAGCACCCGCGCTGGGTGTCCGCGGCGCCCGCCCTGTGGGTGCCTGGCTGGCCCCGGCGAGAGGTGGGATCTTGCCCACAGCGTCTAAACCGCTGCGGGGACCGGACGGGGCAGGTGGGGTTAATTTTATTCACCGCCAGTCTCACTGGCAGAGCTGGGAATGGCCTTTACTGGATGGGGAAGAGGGGATGTTGAAACCAGAGTAAACGCGTGTCTTCTTCCACATTGTTTATTCTGAGGCCTGGGTTCTTAAAGCGGAAAGAGCTTTTATTTGGAAGCCTGTAGGGCCCCGCCAGGCCTACAACAGTGTGCGGACTCTCTTGCTGTCATTGTCGCCTGTTAACTACAGTCTACAATAATTTTGGTGAAGGATGAAGTCACTAGTCAGCCCCCTTGTGGGCAGGTCCCGCGGGAGAAAAGCCAGAGGCGAATCGGCCCTCCAGCGTTTATATGACGGGTTCCCTGACACCTACACCCACCCTGCCCTGCTCCGCCTCCCCGGTGGCAGTGAACCCAACAAGTGGGCCTCCAATCTCCAGGGCAGCCCTGTGCAATGCCCTGCAGACTGTAATACAGTAAGAACTCGCTTTCCGCATGCAGAGAGAAGATGGATTTATTAAGTGCCTACTGGACAACAGGTCCTGTCTTGCGGCACTTTTGCAGCCAATTTTATGGTTACTCTCCAAAACTGCTGAGTTTTGCCCTCCCCATTTTAGAGATGGGGAAAGAATCTCAGGTATGGCCAGTGCCCAAGGCCATGCAGCCACTGTCCTGGCCCTGTAGGCGTAAGTCCAGTGCTCTTGTTTCATGGCTGTGGGAAGTGGTGTGCGGTGTGCAGGACCATGGCCCCACAGTGTGCTGACTAGAGCCTCCCAGCCTCTGAAAGATGCTCTCCACCAAGATTTCAGGGGATGCTTCTTTGGAGAAGCAGTTGACGTGACCCAGGTTAGCCAGGTTGTTCAACCTGCAAACCCCGTATCCACCCTATCCTTCCCCTAGAGAAGGGTAGTGCATGGTGTTGGCCAGATTGCCATGGGGAGGGATTGGGTGCTATTTTGGATGGAAGTCTGCTTCTACCATTGACCTGGCCTCATTCTACTTTTGTGGGGCTTTGGGGGGCAGGTGTTGGGCCATAGGGTTATGGTTGTGGAGTAATTGAAATCTAGTTTGAACATACCTCTACAAAAACATGACATCACTTTTATCTCCATCTCCCTCCTTTCTCCAGGCCTAGGGCTGTGGCTTTCTGCTCATCCCCTCTTCCAAAGGAAAATCATGCTGTCATGAAAATCATGATAACTGTTACCAATCAATTATACTTCAGTATAAATCAGCTTTTAAGAACTATGCCTGGTTGTGGCTGTAGCCATTGGAGGCCCATTCCCAGGCTGCAAGGAACAGCCATATGATCCTAGATTCCTTCTCTGCCTGTAATTGGGATGTATTTCTATTCTCTCCACCCATGTCCACACCCACACATGGGTTTGCCTCCCAGCCATGGGCCTGCCCCTTTTGCTTCCCACTGCTGAAGTTTAGAGGTCCTGTCTTCTTGGTGGAAACCTTGGCTCTGGCAGGGCAAAACGTGGTATGGGTAAAAGAATAACTGGGTTGGCCGGGCGTGGTGGCTCACACCTGTAATCTAAGCACTTTGGGAGTCCAAGGCAAGTGGATCACCTGAGGTTGGGAGTTCCAGACCAGCCTGACCAATAGGGAGAAACCCCATCTCTGCTAAAAATACAAAATTAGCCGGGCGTGGTGGTACATGCCTGTAATCCAGGCTACTCGGGAGGCTGAGGCAGGAGAATCGCTTGAACCCAGGAGGCGGAGGTTGCAGTGAGCTGAGATCACGCTATTGCACTCTAGCCTGGGCGACGAGAGTGAAACTCCATCTCAAAAACAAACAAACAAACAAACAAACAAAAACATCACTGGGTTGAGCATTGCTAATCCTAGATGCTCTCTGAAGGCTAACAGTCTCTGTTCTTTAAGGAGTCAGAGAAGAGAATACTGTTCATGCTGAAATGTTTCATTCTCTACATCATTCTATTGTCTCAGTTGGCCTCTGAAGAAGTAAGGAGGGCTAATTGCATTTTACAGATGAGAAAGCTGAGACCCGAAAAGTTTACAGCTTGGCCGGGTGTGGTGGCTCATGCCTGTAAAACCAACACTTTGGAGGCCGAGGTTGGAGGATTGCTTGAAGCTGGGAGTTCAAGACCACCTTGGGCAACACAGCAAGACTGCTGTCCTAGTAACAAAAAAATAAAAAAGAAAGAAAGAAAGAAAGGTTACAACTTGCCTGCCTCACAAAGCATGTGTGAGTGAGGTCTGTGTGTGGAGAATTAAATGCTATGGGTAAGCAGGAAAAACTTGTGGCTATCTCTGAACTCTGAAGGCTTGGCAGCCACATGGCTCCTCTGCTGTGCAGTCATCGCCTTAGCCGCGGTTTCACCTTTCGAGGTTTGGGTTACAATCAGCCTTGGTCTGAAAATATTATAGTATTTTTAGAGAAACAGAGACCACATTCGCATCACTTTTATTATAGTATATTGTTATAATTGTTTTGTTTTTTTATCACTAATGTTGTAATCTCTTAATGTGCCTTATTTATAAATTAAACTTCATCATCGGTCCTATATATATAGGAAAAAACATAGCATATATAGGATTTGGTACTATCCAAGGTTTTGGGCATCTACTGGTGGTCTCGGGATATATCTTTCTGGGATGAGGGGGGCTACAGTACTTACTCTTTCTCACCCTATATTGTAATTATTTAAGAATATGTCTTCTCACCTCAATATGAAATGGCATTTAAAACACTCATAAACTTGGCAGATTTATTTTCTGGTTTCACAGGTCCTCTGTGCGTTTTGCTCTGTATTTCCTTAGCCTTTATACTCGCTATGTCCATTAGGGTATCTACCAGGATGTATTGCAGTCCTCTATTCAAAAATATTACAAACTATTTTCACATACACAAAAACCTAATAGCGTAATTAGCCCCATATACTCATTACCCAGCTTCCACAGTCATTCAGAGTGTACCAGGCTGGCTTCGTCTCTTTTTCCCCCTTTCCCTCTGAAAGGAATATTCCTGAAATATTTTAAAGCAAATGTCTAATGCCATGTCATTTTGCCTCTATACAATCCAGTATATAACTCTTTTTAAAAGGACATTCTCTTGCAAAACCACACTCCCATTACTGCACATAACAGAATTAACAGTAATTCTTTGACATCATGTGTCCACATGCAGATATCCTTGACTGTGTCAGAAATGACCTTTAGAGTTGGTTTGTTTGAATGAGGATCCAGTCTGTATGCCGCATTAGGCCGTTAGTCCTCTTATGCCTGGCTTAGTTTGGAGGAGCGCCCTCTCTTTAGCCATTACCCTCTGTGTTAATTGCCTATCTCTCCCACTGCATGGGGAGTCCCTTCAGACGAGCCCACCTCTTTGCTGTACTGGATCCTTAGCACTGAGCGCCGTGTCTGGCACACGCAGAGGCTCTGTGAGCATCTGTCCAGTTGTGTCGTTGCCACTCAGGAAATGTGCTTTGAATTAATGAGCCTGGTCATGGATTTGTGTGACTTCCAGTGCATGTGCTTAGACAAGAGGTTTTAAAAAAATGTCCTGCTCACGTGTGGACATTTCCTCAGCAAGCGGCAGTCTGTAAACATCCTGAAATAATAGAAGAACTGTTTGCTGCTCACCCTCACTGTACTGGTTGATGGTGGGGAGCCCGGACAGCTGCATATGTGCCTTGATCAGCAACTGGCCTCCGCAGGTCACATGTGAGGCCGATGGAGACTGAGGTCACTTCTGTCCAAGCTTGGAATTCTGCCACAGGAATGATCATGTTATGACCCAGAAACTTGGCGCTGGGCTTGGTGGAGACCACTCACCTTTTCTTCTTCCTTCTCTCTCTGGACAGTGCTGCTTCACCAATGCCTTTCAGAGCCTTCTCTAACCTGCCTTACTCTTGGGCAAGTTGTGGTGCCTTCTTCAAATCACTGTTCATCCACAACTGGGCAGGTTGTGATGGAAATGAGTGTTTCTAACCTTCAAGTGGCTGGCCTGAGTTTGCTCTATAGAGCACCACCACTGGCACCTTTGTGGGTGACCTAATCAAGGAGACCAGAGGCTCAAGAGAGCAGGAGAAGATATGCCAGCTTCTCTTGCTAATGGACTTCACACTTGGTTCTCTCACCAGATGTCCTCAGGAGTGCTGGACGCCTTCATAGGCATCTTTTACCCATACAGAAAAGGCCTTTCCCTGCAAACAGCCTTCAACATGAAGACATGGTTTGTTTGGGGCTTCTTTTTTTTTTTTTTTTTTTTTTCTTTTTAACACAGA